TCTGATTTTGGACTCTCCAGCTTTAGTAAATAAACCCCTATATGTCGGGACTGATTTTTAAATGAAATTGACGGCTTTTTTTTTTCTTCACTATAGTTCACAGAATTAGCTGTCACTTTCCCTGGAGCTAAAGGAAATGTTGTTTCTTTTCTATTTCAATGGTTTTTATTAATTTTTAAACAGTATAAAAGAGAGGCAATAAAACACGCCCACGCAGGGGCTATCAATTGCACAGATAAAAAAAATGCAAAAAAAAAAAAAAAGGAAAAACAGTGCTCTAATGCCAACAGGGCAAAAGGTACGCCCACACAGAGGCTATCAATGGCACATAAATTACAAAACATTACTGTAACTGACTATAACAACTAAATGCAGCTGGCCAGTCACACTAAAACAGAGAAAAAATGAAAAAAGAAGAAAGAGGGGAAGAAAAAGAAAGAGAGAGAAAGAGAAAAAAAAGAAAGGGGCAGGGGTCCAAGAGCGCCAATACCGAACGCCATTACATCCCCAGACTAGCCGGGGAGAGTGTGGGAAAGGCATATTGCAACCACGGCTCCCATATTTTCAAAAATTTATGTTGGGAGTCGTTGCGGATACTCGACATCTGTTCGTTGAGCATCATAGTGGTCATACGATCCCGCACCCCCTGAAGAGGGACAACCGGACTCTTCCAGGCCTGAGCAATTGTTCTAGTGGCCGATAAAAACAGATAGGAAGCCAACTTCTGCTGATGAACCAAGAGGCCCGGTATGGGGCAATGAAGCAAAGCATACCGAGCATCCCGGCGGATGGAGAGATGGAACAAGGTGAAAAGGAGGCCAAACACACGAGACCAAAAACGAAACAGTCTCGGGCATGACCACCAGATATGCAATACATCTCCACGATGGCCACAATCCCGAAAACATTGATCACTACAGGCAGGGTTAGCCCGGGCCAACCGAGCCGCAACCCAGCACCAGCGAAACAATACCTTATAGGCTGCCTCCAGCGTGGTCGTATTAAATGAGCATTTAGCTATGAGTGATCAGGCCTTATTCCAGTCCTCCGGATCCACGGCCACTCCCAGGTCGCGCTCCCACTGAACGACATATGAAAGAGAAGTATGCGGCGAGCGTTTATTCAAAGCTGCATAAAGAAGGGAAGTAAGGCCTGGGGCGCCCGGCCGTTGTTGGCAAAGCAGTTCAAAGGCAGATTTCTGGTACGGGAAGACAGACGAGCCCCGCAATGAGATCAGCCAATGCCGCAATTGAAGGTAACGAAAAAACTCCACCGGAGGGACATCCCGTGACTCCTGAAGAGAATTCCAGGTAGGGAAGGACCGAGAGGTCAAAAAGTGTCGTACCTGGGAAAAACCATTGGTCACCCACCAAGAAAACGCCCTTGGTTGATCTAAACCTGGTGGGAAGAGGGGGTTGTTAATGATTGGGAGCAAAGGCAAAAAAGGTGACATTAGGCCACTGGAGTAACGTACCGAGTCCCACACTTGCAAGCCATGGAGCAAAATCGGACTCAGTGCCGTGGGACGCAGGGCAGAGGGAAGCCATAGAAGTGTCGATATCGCAATAGGGGCACAATTAGGTAGTTCCAGGAGGACCCAGAGAGGTATGTCTGAGGAAGCATGCAACATAGATAGCGGGGCGATCTGGCTCGCCTGATAATATTTAGTAACATTGGGAACCCCAAGGCCACCCTGAAGTCTATGGACAAAAAGCGTAGTTCTGGAAACTCTGGGGCGTTTATTGGCCCAGATGAAACGCATAATCTTTGCCTGAAGCAACCGAAGGAAATGAGGAGGAACCCGCACTGGGAGGGTGCGAAAATAGTATAGCAGTTTCGGCAAGATGGTCATTTTTACTGAATTAATCCGTCCAATCCATGACAGGTGTGGAAATTGCCAAGAATGCATAAGAGAGGACACAGAGCGAAGCAGTGGATGGAAACGTTGTTTCTGTTAACTCTGGAACTAAACTAAAAGTAAACGTTTCTTTTAGCTGGGGGGAAAGTGGCAGCTGATTCTCTGAGCTATAGTGAAGAAAAAAGAAAAGCCGATAAGTACATTTAAAAACTGGCACTGACATATAGTGACAGTCATTGAGGGAGCCTCTCTGTATACACTGCTCCCTCACTGTATACACTGCTCCTCTCCTGGTTTTCTCCGTCGCCGTCCCCCCCCCCCTCACATCTGCAGTGCAGTACAGTACACTCAGTCCCCTGTATCGGTTAAATTTTTCCTAGCTGCAGAATGCCAATAGGGCTATTTTCAGCTGATATGTTTCGGTGTCCGAAATTTCGGTGCATCCCCAATTGTAAAGCGTGAATTAAAAAAAAAAAGTCATACTTACCTGCTCTGTGCAATGGCTTTGCAATGAGCAACATGGATTCTCCTCTTCTCTGTTCTCCCACCAGCGCCTCTGGGTGTCGTCGTCCCCCCCCCCCCCACTGTTCCCATGGGGGCACTCAAGCTCGCTTGATCCTAAGCCAGGCTGTTTGTGTGTACTCAGACACACAGCCTGGCTTGGCCCCTCCCCCTGCTTTCTGCTGACAGGTCCTGACTGACCGCATCAAGAGCCAATGGCTTCAGCTGTTCTCAGCCAACCCTGTCAGAGCCAGGAAAGGGGAGAAGAGCTGACATGCACAGCGCTGGCCTGAGATCGGGTTCAGGTGGGTATTAAGGGAGGGCTGGGGAGTCAGCCTGACTCTTTCCTGAGGCTCCTGCAAGAGTTATTTTACTGTTTCTTGGTGGATTTGATGTCTTATCATTCATCATATTATTGATGTTGGATCAGGCACCTTTGATTGCAGCACAAAAATCGTGTGTCGCAGCTGGCACGCTAATGATTCGAAAAACAAACAGTTTGAAGTTTGCGTTTAGTTTTTGCATCATCTATGGCCTGTTTAAGTTTTTATACTTAAACAGGAAACGAGGGTGCGTATACTCATGCAAAAAAAGCCACCAGAAAGACAAATGACCTAACTTATTAGGATTTTAATAAATATGATTACTGTGTGTGTTATCTTTACATACTGTTATTGTTATTGTAAGAGGGTGTTTTTTTTTTTTTCTCCAGGTTGCTCCTTCCAAGAGGGTGATGAGTATTTTTGGTCTCCATCCTAATAGTATGTAAAAATAACACACATCTATCCTAATATTTATTAAATTCCTAATAAAAGTTAGGTCAATTTAGTCTTCTCGGTGGCTTTTGGTACATGAGTGTTTTTGGTCTCCATCCTAATAGTATGTAAAAATAACAAACTATCATAATATTTATTAAATTCCTAAAAAAAGTTAGGCCAATTTAGTCTTCTCGGTGACTTTTGGTGCATGGGTGGTATATGCACCCTTGTTTCCTGTTTTAAGTACATGTACATGCCAGATTTGGGGAATTGTAGCATTATTAAATATAGTAGGCAATCGTTTGAGTAACTGTTTAAGTTTTTCACTGCCCAAAAGATTACCAATCGCTTCAAAGACAAGATTGATGCAATTCTTTAGAATATCTGTCCCAAACAACATACCACTTTCAATACTTTCCTCTTTTGACCCTGCTGCTACAGAAGAGGTTGCCATACTTTTCTCAGGCGCCTGCCTAACCAACTGTCCCCTGTTCACTTGCAACTACTACGGTCACCCTCTTGCTCTATCCTGTGCTCTCTCACTCACATCATCAATCTCTTCCTTTACTGGCACTTTTCTCTCCCTTCTAAAGCATGCATTGGTCACCCCATCTCTTTGCTCCCATTTACCTCTAAACTTTTAGAACGTTTTGTCTACAACCTCCTCAGCTCCTACCTCACTGACAAAAACCTTTGTGACCCCTTACAGTCTGGCTATCGCTTACAACACTTCACAGAAACTCCCTACTAAAACTCCATACTAGACCTTTCTTCTGGCTTTGATACTGTTGACCACCCACTCCTCAATAAGCTAAAGTCCCATGGCCTCCAGAACTCTGCATTTTCCTGGTTCTCCTCCTACTTATCACAGCATTCCTTCAGTGTTGCCTACTACTTAGTCTCCTCTCCATTTTCTCTTTCTGTAGAGGTCCCCCGAGGCTGTGTCTCTGGACCCCCTATCATATCTATCTACATCTCCTCTCTTGGTCACTTGATAACCTTCCACAGCTTTCAATATTATCTCTATGCCGATGATGCCCAAATCTAGCTCTTTACTCCTCACCTCACTCATTCAGTTTAGGCAGAATAGTTTGAGACAAGTCAAGACTCTCTCCCAGTAGTGGACCTAATTATAGTGAATGTTTTCATGGCACAACACACCTGTAGGATTTTGAATTGTTTCCTTATGCCATTTCTTTTAATCTATTTTGAATAAAAGTGAGGTTTAAAGACCTAGTGGGCTTTGTACGCAGTGAGATATGCGCACAATTCTCATGTACTTTATCGTTTTTTGATTCCCACATAGGTTTATTTTAAGAATTGTTTTTTAGATAATTGGGCAAATGTATTTGTTTGCTAATATTCAGGCTTGGCTGGCGCCAATTTCGACTGCAAAGTTTTTGCAGGCCGCAGTTTATTCTCGGTTTGGCTTTATTAGGCGCTTTAAGAGTTCTGAGGGTTTTGTTGGCCATAATTTTTTGTTGCTCATTAGATACTCTCCCCTTAATTACTGCTTTTAGACTTTCATATCCGTTATGATTGAAGACCAGTGACCAGTATTGTATGAGAAAAGAAAATTAGATTAAGTACAAGTAAAATACTTCTCTTGGAGTGCAGTACAGGAAACAGGACGGTCCCCTCTGTGCTGTGGGTCCTTCATTGCTTGCTACAAAAGAGGATCACTTCGTGTGAGGAGTTATATGAGGAAGCGTCTAAAGCAGGGGTCTCCTAAGTTTCTAAACAAAGGGCCAGTTTAATGTCCTTAAGACTTTGAGGCTTCAAAGGGAGTAAACCATGGCCCATCGTTGGCATTAGTGAGAGGAATATTGCCCTATTGTTGGGACCACTGGAAGGAATAGTGCCCCATTGTTGGGACCAGGGAAAGGAATAGTGCCCCATTGTTGGTGTCAGTGGGAAGAATAGTGCCCTGCCATTGGTGTCATTGGCAGGAATAGTGTTCCATTGTTTGGGTCATTGGTAGGAATAGTGCCTTATTGTTCGTATCAGTGACCGGGATTATGCCCTGTTGGTGATGTCAGTGGCAGGAATTGTGCTCAAAGGCCCGGATAGAAGCAAGCAAAGGGCCACCTCCGGCCCCTGGGCCGCAGTTTGGAGACCACTGGTCTAAAGCATTTTAGTAGCTTTGCCAGAGTCCAATCACCTGAAGGTGGATCATATAACCCATCAGTTATAATAGAAATCCTGTATCCTGTAAGGTACTTCAAGAAAAGGATTTTACAGGTATGTAAAAAAAAAACAATCGTGGTGTTCAATCATTTTATTTTTTCAGGTTACTGACAACACCACATCTCTGATAATACCATCAGATCAACATTTTATATGAACGTAAACATTTTTTATGTGAGCAGCCTTCTACCTATTACTGCTTCATTTACACAGGAGCTGCTGTCTGCACTCCTGCGTTTGCATTGTTCAGTCATTTACTCAGTATGAACTGACCAGTGACACTATTTCTTGACTAAAAATTGCATTTGTATGCATTTATTCTATGCTAGTTTATACTTGGTACTAAATGTGTATATGTTGCATAGGAATGGGACCAATGCCTTGGACTGTCAACTCTGAAATATACCCACTGTGGGCAAGGAGCACAGGAAATGCGTGTTCTTCTGGAGTAAACTGGATGTTTAATGTGGCGATTTCACTCACGTTTTTACATACAGCGGAATATCTTACGTATTATGGTAAGGACATTTCAACCCATTTTCTTCCTATGGTACCAAGGTAATTGAGCACTGCTTGTACCATTTTTATAGAGAGTATTTTTTTTATTATTGCTTTCAAATAGATGGATAAATTGCACATTTTGATATTTTTGCGCAAGGGCATTTGTAAATACCATGAGGAAGGCTCCATGCCCGTACATCAGGAGGATCTCCCCATCCACCTTAAATGTGTAGATAGGAGAATCGGCTCACTTTTTTTCTTTAAACCCACTGGTTGAACGAAAAATAGAATCCTGTATGGCCTTCCTTACTGTATCCAAAATGAAAAAAAAAATTGTCTATAGTTCTACTTTGCATATGAAGATCCAGACTTTCATTATCAGTGGGACTTTTAAATGCCAAAAATATACATCACGCATTAATATTTCCTTAAAAAATACTTTTTATTAGTACAATAACAAACTTTACTTCCATAAAATCCACATTGCATCATGATGTGTTTTTTATTAAAAACTACAAAACAGTGAGCGTTCCAATAATATTATCCGTTATAGCTTTTCTGGTATATAGGACAAAATATGGTGAACTACTTCCATTTATTGTTGTAATGGGGGAAAGAAAACCCTTTGAGAAATCTATTTTTATGTTGTATACTATTAGGCCTGCTGCACACGGGAGTAAAAAAATGCTGAGTTTTTTACTGATCTGAAATGGGATGCATTGTTGTCTATGGGACAGTGCACATAGCATTCGTACAGAGTACACATCAGTAATACAAAAAATAGAAAACTTTACATCTGAGTACATTTACTGTGTGCTTAGTCATTTAGGCCCCTTGCACATGAGCATAATTTACTGTTTACTCAGAAACTTGTGACTCCTGTGTGCAAGGGGCAACAATACTGGCAATGGAGAAGAATTTTACTTGTCTATACTCATCTATACGCTTACTGTACATACCTTTACTCGCCTATACTGCCTATACCAGGGGTGGGCAAACTTTTTGACTTGAGGGCCGCAATGGGTTCATATATTGGACCCGGGGGCCGGACCAAGAGTAGATGAATGATGTGTATGTGTCATCCATAGTAAGTATAGTAATATTCCCCCATAGTAAGCATAGTAATGAATCCCCCATATAGTAATTCATCCCCCATAGTAATTCATCCCCCATATAGTAATTCATCCCCCATATAGTAATTCATCCCCCATAGTAATTCATCCCCCATATAGTAATTCATTCCCCATAGTAATTCATCCCCCATAGTAATTCATCCCCCATATAGTAATTCATCCCCATATAGTAATTCATCCCCATATAGTAATTCATCCCCCATAGTAATTCATCCCCCATAGTAATTCATCCCCCCTATAGTAATTCTTCCCCCTATAGTAATTCATTCCCCATATTAATTCATCCCCCATATTAATTCATTCCTCATATAGTATTTCATCCCCCATAGTACTATTCCCCCTCAAGTAGTAAGCCAAGTCCTCCGTGTCAATTCACTTACCTTTGCTCCGCGCGTTCCTCTCGCCGTGTTCCCGCGCCGTTCCGGTCTTCAGAGCGGACTGTGAGAGGAGCCTAGCTCCCCTCCCCTCACGTTCGTCACGCTGCCCCGCCTACACACATCCTGACAGCCACATCCGCGGGCCAGATTAAAAGGTCCGCCGGGCCGTATACGGCCCGCGGGCCGTAGTTTGCCCATTGCTGGCCTATACTCAACATTACTCTGATCTTTACACACAGTTTTTGACTCCTTGCACACTGGCGTTACCAGTTCCTGAGTAAACATCAGTAAATTATGACTACTGTGTGTAAGAGGCCCTAAAAGGATAGCTGTATTGACGCATTTCAGGGTTAGCTTCCTCAGAAATGGGGAAAACAATTTAGCATAATAATTTTACAGGTTTCACAGTACATCTGACAGTTCTTCTGAGGTTCCCACAGCTGCTATATGACAGCTTCTCTTGATCTTAGCACTGGCATCTACTGCCTCTCAATGATCCCAGTGGCTTAAGTCGAGACTATTACCACAGCTGACAGCTTCACATTGAGCTAATTCTCTGCCTGTTTCACACTGAAGCTTGTGAGTGCATTACCATTCTTTTCATACATTTTATATGAATAAAATCTTGCTGCACTATTGGCGGCCTGGCACCTCTCTCCTTCCCTTCCTATTAAAAAAAAAAAAACATCCCAGGGGGCGTGGCTTGGACATGGCCGAGTAGAAGTGTGCTTTATCGGAGCTCCCAACTTCTCCACAGCTTATACAGCATACTCTACCTTCTAAAACAGCATGCTGTCTACCAAGAAACCCAAGACCAAGTCAGCACACAAATCCTCTTGACCCTCGAGCTCCGGAGCTGAAATTCATAGTTTTTTTCTTGGGTTCTCAGCAACCTAGCCCCAGGGCAAAGATGGCAGAGCCATGCGGTTCTTTGAGCCTGTTGTCATCCTCTACATTATCAGGGACATCTGAAGCTTTCTCCTACACCCCGGTGGCTCTACTTATGGAACTACCTGGTTCTTCGAACCCATCTGCCAACTCCCTGGCTTGTGAGATGGCTGGTGACCTACGGGCTGTAATCCAGGCCCTTCTCACCAAGACAGACATTGAAGCCCTTATCCTCCGGCTGGAAGACTCACATCGCCAGGACCTGCAGGCAGCCTGGACGGTATGCAAACCCTGTGCCTGTATCGCTACAGGGGGAATCCTCTGCTCTGGCCTTGGAACAGAGACTTGCAGACCTGGAGACAGCCTGAGTGCAATGTGCAAACACGGTGGTAGCTCTTCATATTCATCTGGAGCCACCAAAACAACTTGCAGCTCTGAGGCCTCCCCTAAACTACAGGCCCGGAGAATCTCCAGGACACTGTTATGGCCATCCTCCATAGAGTATTGAAATCGACTCCCTCAGCTATAGTGGAGCTCAAAAGGGTTCACAAAGCCCTGAGCCCCCTCTCTACTGACCTGAATAGACCCCAGGATGTGATCTGCTGCCTTCACCAATATCCCCAGAAAGAACCCATCCTTCAGAAAGCAAGGGAGATGGGAACAGTGGACTTCGATGGCACCCCAGTTAAGATCTTGCCAGATCGCTCGTAGGCTACGTTGCAACGCCGAGCCTTACCGCGCCTTGTCCTAGAAAAAGCCTGCCAACTTGGGCCCACATACAGATGGGGATTCCCCCTGGCAATTACCTTCCATAAGGGAACACAGGCCTATACTCTGCAGTCTCCGGAGGACCGCCCAGACTTTTTTGCTTTTCTGGAGTCTGACCCATTGCAGGTCCCTGACTGGCTTCAACTCTTGCCTTGAGCTCCGGGTCGACTAGGCCCAGGCTTCCCTCAGCTGGGATTGCCTCCCCGACCACTTAGGCCTCATCAGCGCTCTCGGGCGCCCACCCCGGAGGGTCCACGAGTCATGACGCCTGGAAAATTGGAGAACTGATGTTGTTATACTGTTCCATTATGCTTAATCTGCTCACATTGTTGAGGTGACTCTTCTCTGATGTTCTGTCTTGATGGCCACCCGTTGTGGATGATGCTTATATCTGATGTGTCTATAGTCGCACTATCCATCACTTGGACTGGACAAGAACTTGATACTTTGTATGTGTGTGCATATATATATATATATATATATATATATATATATACCGTATTTTCCGGCGTATGAGATGACTTTTTACCCCTTGAAAATCTTCTCAAAAGTCGGGGGTCGTCTTATACGCCGGTATACGGCATACTGACACTTTTTAGTGGGGCGGCGCGGTGCCGCTGCCCCCCCCCCTAAGTACAGGGGTGGGCAGGGGCTGTTTCTTACCTGGCTCCGGTCCCACGACGATCCGGTCCAGGAAGCGCGGCTGCTCCTTCAGTTCGGCCACTGGATGTTCGCGCGGCTGCTCGGCTCCGCCTCCTCACGGTGATTGGCCGCCAGAACTGTAGCTCAGGAAAGGCACACAGGCGGCCAATCACCGGCAAGGGGGTGGAGCCGAGAGGCCCCACGAAAATTGAGTGCAGGAGCAGCAGGTAAGTGTTCAGTGTAGAGGTGCTGCTGCAGCCACATATGCTGGCTGCAGCAGCACCATACTAGAACAGGGTCAGCAAGTGTAATTGGTGTCAGTGGGAGGAATAGTGCCCCATCATTGGTGTCACTGATACCAATGATGGAGCACTATTCCTCCCACTGACACCAATGATGGGGCACTATTCCTCCCACTGACACCAACGATGGGGCACTATTCCTCCCCCCCACTGACACCAACGATGGGGCACTATTCCCCCTCCCACTGACACCATTGATGGGGCACTATTCCACCCCCCACTGACACCAATGATGGGACACCATTCCTCCCACTGACACCAATGTTGGGACACTATTCCTCCCACTGACACCAATGATGGGGCACTATTCCCCCCACTGATACTAATGATGGGGCACTATTCCTCCCACTGATACCAATGATGGGGCACTATTCCTGCCACTGATATCAATGATGGGGCACCTATTCCCACCACTGATACTAATGATGGGGCACTATTCCTGCCACTAATGCCAATGATGGGCACTATTCCTGCCACTAATGCCAATGATGGGGCACTATTCCTGCCACTGACACCGATGATGGGGCACTATTCCTCCCACTGGTGTGCATTGGAAGAGGGGTAGTCTTATACGGCGAGTATAGCCAAACACTACATTTTAGCAGGAAAAGTGGGGGTTGTCTTATACGCCGGCAAATACGGTATAATTTGCACCTAAGGGAAGGACAATGTTCCTTATTGTTTTAGTCCTCTCTCTTATTGGGCCATCTGTTCTTATCACAAACCTTACTTTGTGCAGCCATGTTGCCTCATACCTGGGCATGAGGGCTAAGTACCTCAATGTTTACAAATACCCCGGCGAGAGATCTCTGCTCTGGGGTTATGTGATTGATGTTTCCCTCATGCTATTATTGTACATTTTCTCTTTTACATGTTAGGGGATTTGCCCTTTTTGAATTTTACTGACCGCTATTTCCTTCCAGGGCTGCTGGGTCTCCTATGGGGTAGGGGGTTGTTCCTCCTTTGGGGGGGGTGCCTCCCTTCTTTCCCTGTGGGGACCACCCTTCGGACTGGCTGTCTTAGTGGGGAGTGGGAGGGCAGATAGCGTGGGAGTCGGTTGGCGGCCCTGCATGCTGCGGGGATCCTTTTCTGGCCCCCCTCCGTGGATGTGGGACGTTGCTTATCCTCCGCGGGAGGAGGGCCTTTCCCCTTTCATTTTCAGGTTCTGTCAGTTTTGGGTTATCGCTTCGTGTGGATGTGGATTGCTGCCTACTCCTACTGTCTGAGATTTCATCTTGGACACTGCAGATCCTTTTTTTTTTTTTTTCCAATAAGATCCTTTTGGTGCCGGTCTTTTGTGGATGGATATGGCCCCCCACGTGGAAGAAAAATGTATTTTAAATATATTTTTTAAAATATTCTTCCCAAATATATAAACATATATTTGAAATACTACAATTTTGGCAGTATTCAATATATTTCAAAAATATATATAAAAATATATATAAAGTGGATGTTGAGATGCTTTTTTTATATATTAAAAAATATATGAAGAATATTTTTAAAAATACATTTTCAGATATATGTCTTTTGAAAATACATTTAATCTACATTTTGGAATGCATTTACAAGCAGTTAAAACTACTTTTTTATATGTTTAAAAAAAACTGAAGAATATATTTTTTAGTATATGCCTTTGAAAATATATTTAAATTAAAATTTTTTAGAATGCATGTTAAAATATATTAGCGTAGGCCAATATATTGTAAATATATGTCACATATATAATTTTTTTTCTAAATATATTGGAAATATATTTCTCTTCTGCTTTGCCCCTCGGAGGTGGGGTAGGGATGGGTCCTTTCCTCTTGGGGGAATTCAGATCCGTGCTCTGGTTCCTCCCGTGCCTCTACTGGGCTGGCTCCACCGGGACGTGGGTTTCTTTAGTTATACCGGTTATTTACATGTAGTGGCCTTTTGGTCTGGTGGCATGCACTATTGTTTCTTGATAGTCATTATTATACACTGCTAAAGAAAATTAAAGGAACACTTTGAAAACACATCAGATCTCAATAAGGAAAAATATCATGCTGTATACAGTTGTGGCCAAAATTATTCAACCCCCAATGCTGTAAAGGGGTTTAGGGACTATAGTGTACATTTGGAATTGTATTCAGAATCAAATCCTACAAGGACGTTGTAACTACCCAAATGCAACTAAAATGACATCAATTGTTTATGTAATACAGTAGTAAATGGTTCTTATGTGGTTTCTTCATTGCCACAATTATTCAACCCCTTAAAGACTACCACTCTGAAGAACAGAGGTTCATACAGGTGCTTTCCATCAGGTATTGAAAACACCTGTGGATGTCACCGAGCAGCAATCAAGCATAATAAGCACCAATTAGGCAGCTTTAAAATGACTGTGATACTCAGCTCCTTCTAGACATTTACTGGTGTGGTTACAAACATGGTGAAGGCAAGAGAATGGTCCAGGAAGACAAGAGAAGAGGTGATTTCTCTTCACAGGAAGGGCAATGGCTATAAGAAGATTGCAAAGATGTTAAACATACCAAGAGACACCTTAGGAAGCATCATTCGCAAATTCAAGGCAAAGGGCACTGTTGAAACGCTACCTGGTCGTGGCAGAAAGAAGATGCTGACTTCGACTGCTGTGCGCTACCTGAAGCGTAGAGTGGAGAGAAGTCCCGTGTGACTGCTGAGGAACTGAGAAAAGATTTGTCAGATGTGGGTACAGAAGTTTCAGCCCAGACAATAAGACGCACACTGCGTAATGAAGGCCTCCGTGCCAGAACTCCCAGGCGTACCCCCTTGCTGTCTCCAAAGAATAAGAAGAGTCGACTGCAGTATGCCAAAAGCCATGTGGACAAACCACAAAAGTTGTGGGATAGTGTTCTGTGGACTGATGAAACAAAATTAGAACTGTTTGGGCCCATGGATCAACGCTATGTTTGGAGGAGGAAGAACAAGGCCTATGATGAAAAGAACACCTTGCCTACTGTGAAGCATGGTGGAGGGTCAATCATGCTTTGGGGCTGTTTTGCTTCTGCAGGTACAGGGAAGCTTCAGCGTGTGCAAGGTACCATGAATTCTCTTCAGTACCAGGAGATATTGGATGGAAACGTGATGCAGTCCGTCACACACCTGAGGCTTGGGAGACGTTGGACCTTTCAACAGGACAATGATCCCAAGCATACCTCCAAGTCCACTAGAGCATGGTTGCAGAGGAAAGGCTGGAACATTTTGGAGTGGCCATCGCAGTCACCAGACTTAAATCCGATTGAGAACCTCTGGTGGGACTTAAAGAAAGCAGTTGCAGTGCGCAAGCCTAAGAATGTGACTGAACTGGAGGCCTTTGCCCATGAAGAATGGGCGAAGATACCCGTTAGATCGCTGCAAGACACTTGTGTCAAGCTATGCTTCACGTTTAAAAGCTGTTATAACTGTAAAAGGATGCTGTACTAAGTACTAAGATTGAATGTCACTTGGGGGTTGAATAAAACTGATAATGCTGTGAGCACAGAAAAGAATTTGTGGTTATTTCATTATAACTGTTATGTTATATTTGTCTGACCTACAAGTGCCTCTTTAATGTAAATGTAAGCAAGATGACTGAATGATCAAAAGCAATGTCAAACTGGCCAAAACACTCAATTTCAGTGGGGGTTGAATAATTTTGGCCACAACTGTATCTATACTGATATGGAGTCGGTAATATGTTAGGATCAAAAGGATGCCCCATGATGGAAATAAAAAATTATCAACCATTTTGCTGAAATTCCATTGCAACAACTCAAAATTGTACTCAGTAGTTTGTATGGCCTCCATGTGCTTGTATGCATGCCTGACAACGTCGGGGCATGCTCCTAGACGACAGATGGTGTCCTGGGTATTTCCTCCCAGATTTGGACCAGGGCATCACTGAGCTGTTGGACAGTCTGAGGTGCAACCTTGCAACGTCAGATGGACCGAAACATGATATCCCAGAGGTGTTCTATTGGATTTAGTTCAGGCGAGTGTGGGGGCCATTCAGTGGTATCAATTCCTTCATCCTCCAGGAACTGCCTGCATACTCTGGCCACATGAGACCGGGCATTGTCGTGCACCAGGAGGAACCCAGGACCCACTGCACCAGCGTAGGGTCTTTCAATGAGTCCAAGGATTTCATCCCGATAACTAATGGCAGCCAGAGTGCCATTGTCTAGCCTGTAGAGGTCTATGCATCCCTCCATGGATACGCCTCCCAAGACCATGACTGACCCACCACCAAAACGGTCATGCTGGACAATGTTACAGGCAGCATAGCATTCTCCACAGCTTCTCCAGACCCTTTCACGTCTCTCATGTGCTTAGGGTGAACCTGCTGTCATCTGTGAAAAGCACAGGACATCAGTGGTGGACCTACCAATTCTGGTGTTAATTGGCAAATGCCATGTGAGCTCTATGGTGCTGGGCAGTGAGCGCAGGGCCCACTAGAGGATGTCGGGCCCTCAGGCCACCCTCATGAAGTCTGTTTCTGATTGTTTGATCAGAGACTTCACACCAGTGGCCTGCTGGAGGTTATTTTGTAGCGCTCTGGCAGTGCTCATCCTGTTCCTCCTTTCACAAAAAAGCAGATACCGGTCCTGTTGATGGGTTAAGGACTTTCTATGGCCCTATCAAGCTCTTCTAGAGTAAGTGCCTGTCTCCTGAAATCTCCCCTATGCTCTTGAGACTGTGCTGGGAGACACAGCAAACCTTCTGGCAATGGCATGTATTGATGTGCCATCCTGGAGGAATTTAACTGCCTGTGCAACCTCTGTAGGGTCCAGGTATCGCCTCATGCTACCAGTAGTGACACTGACCCTAGCCAAATGCAAAACTAGTGAAAAACAGAAAAAAATATCCGTGGCCTCTACCTGTAAAACCATTCCTGTTTTGGGGGT